ACTCCTCCTCTAATCAGTAGTGCTGCTTGTTTTCTATAGAGCAGAGAAGACAGAGGGCTTGTTATCCATTTCCAATAAGAAGTAGGTCTCAGAGTCCAGCATTTTTTAAGCCCCCTTAGCATACTGATCTGCTCTAGTCAATTATTTTATGCTGAAACTTGAGCACTGGAACTAGAAACATTCAAAAATAGAAAAGAAAGTAAAAGCAAAATCATCCATAATCGTGTAACAGAAAAAAAATCCTGTCACTATTTTAGTGTTTCATTTTGCTTTTGAAAATGCCTCATGAAAGAAGGCTTGGAAGAGTGTAAGTAGCTGCTGCACAACAGGTTTATTCTGTAGAATTTTAGCCTGAGCACAAATTTCTAAATTTTCAACCTGATTAAACTAAATTTATAGTAACCACTTATCATATAGCCTCTCAGTACTTTGTCTAATGAATGACATATATTATTTCCCATTTACTTATGTGGTGTTATAGATAATGTATTATTTGGTATGTTGGCACATAATACAAATTAACTATATTTTACCAATTTTAATTCTCTAGAAGCTTCTGAACCAGTGTACAGGTATGTTCATGAACCACTTCCTGAACTGAGAAGCAGAAGAGATTAGTTGAAATTATATAAGTAATTAATGAACTAAATAGAGCACAATCTTTTTATGAAATGAAATACCCACATATATTCAAAAGAAGGTATGAGCATATAAAAATGTAGATACATCCACAAATTTTAAGGCTAGAAATAAGAAGTAGAATAATATATTTTGGTATACAAATGATGTTAAGGAAAAGATTACCAAACCAATGATAGTAGTTTAAGTGCAAACTATCAAATTTTGCAGCACTTTTGTTTAGTAGTTTTAATGCTTTGGTATTATTTAAATTTTTATAAAATTGCTAATGAAATTATATTTCTGGCTAGGCATGTTGATATACGCCTTTAATCCCAGCTCTCCAGAGGCAGAGGTAAATGGATCTCTGTGAGTTCAAGGCCAGCCTCCGATCTACATATTGATTTCCAGGCCACCTGGGGCTACTGGGAGACCCTGTCTCAAAAAGACCAAAAAAATTATATTTCTGTTCACTACAAATTATAGGAGAAAAATAAAAAGGAATAACTTGTTACTCAATCCCCCAAAAAAAATCTCAGAAGAAAAAAATTAGTCCGTAAATTATGATTTCATTCATAAATCCTAATTTATTTGATTCAATTAGAACCTAAATACGCATGTATTATTATGGGACTAAGACACTATAGTAAAATTTCAATGCACAAAGTTCAAAGTACACTACATGCATTTCAAAGAAAATTTACATATAGAGTTTACTCATTAAATGTACTCTGGGGCCACACCTTATATTTTAGCAGTCACACGAGATAGTAATGTCTCCTGAATACAGAAAAAAAGAAGGCAGTATGCTTTGAAAGTTTCAAAAATCCTTCTAGATGAAAGCCACTCAATCTGTTATTATGGTGAGATCAAGACAGGATGCATTTGACTATTAAATTCCCTTTTTGAACATGAATAAAAGCCAGCCAGGTTAATGTCTTTTTATTCTGTCTTCAATATCTATGACTAATTATAATCTAAACCAAAGAAATAACATTATACAACTACCTCAAAATGTATTTTGTTTTATTGTAGATATCAGAATCTTGAATTCCTCTCTATGTCTAGAATAAACTTGTTAATTGAAAGCAATTAAACTAATGATGGAGTATAAAAATATTCAATTTCCTTACCTATGGAGATTTAGCTAGATAGTAACAAAGAACTCCAAATGTTCTGCAGAAACTCTCTGGTTTAACTATGATTCATTCTATAGTAATTCAATGGTAGTCAGAGTTAAAATAATCTTAAAAACAAATGAATTCATCTAAATACCATCTGCAATTCATGTTCTGAAGAACAATTGCCTTATAAAGGGTCCCAAACTGATATTTTTTGCATTTTTATAAACTTCTAAAAATTAACTATATCTAATACAAGATATCTAGTGATGGATTTCAAATTTTAACCCCTCAGAAATAGTATTCTTCCTATATTAGGAAAGTGATTGTTGATGTGGTCAAAAGTATGCTGCATTTGATCTATGTACACAACTTGGTATAAGAATAAATAAAGTGAGATAAGGAAACAGTTGCCCTGGCTTTATTCTTGGATAGATGCCTCTGAGTAGAAAAAGTGTGTACTCACAGGTGATGTGCATAAGCACACTGGTTGGGACTACCAGAACTATGTCATGCTCTTATGCAGAACTCACTGAGTATCAGAAGCAAAACTTGAGGGTACATTAGCTAGTAATGGAATTTTCTCAGATGCATCTGTGCTCTCAGGTGTCTGCTCCTATACCAAACTCCTGTGTTGATGCCGAGGGGTAACTGGTGCTGAGGAACTGAGGTTGAACTCAAAAGATACTCAACAAGATGAGGGGACTCCAGGCTATGCTACACAGGATTGCCTTTCATGGCACCCTGTGAAACTTTTTATTAGGACAGCTAGAATTTATACAAAGCTTACACATGATTGATGCTTAAGCAGTAAAAAACACACAGAATTTTCCTTATCACTATAGTAGGAGATGGCTAGACTTGCTCAAGCATGTGGAGATTTGTTCAAGGCTGAGTATATAATAAACTTCCTTAGTATACATTTTGAAGCATTTTTGCATAAAGCAAGAATTGTATAGGAAGCAGCCCCTCCAGGATCAGGCATAGCCCCTTTCCTAACTGCAAGCCTGGCTGAGTCTAAGGAACTTTGTTAACCCTTAGTGTGACAAGTGCCATTGTCCCTCAGGGGCAAAGGTGGTGGCTACACTCACGTCTTTCCTCTATCCTGTGCTACATTAAACTCTTTTCCTCTGGTTTCTGAGTAGATTTGGCCAGTAGCAGACAGTATTAAATTACTAGGTGATCAAAGAAATACAGAATTTAAGATCTATGTCCCCATTATGCTTGTGACATATTCCATTTCAAATTTTAACCCCTCAGAAATAGAATTTGTATTTCCCAGGTAAATGCCTGTTTTGGTTCTAGTTTTAGTCCAACGATCTACACTTTTGTCTGTGATGTTTTTCTTGGTACCTTCAGTCTAGAGACACTAGTCCAGCTAACTTTTCTTTACATTGAAATAGCCTTGATTTTAATTATGAGGCCAAGTTTACTACTGGTTGCTTGTTAGGTGAGGGAAAGTGTTGATCTCTAGAACAAGAAATTCTCTCTCTCCGGAAATAAGGGGCTTTAGAGCAGACTTTGCTATTAAGACCTAATAATTAATATTCGTAAAGAAAAGTTACAGTTTATAGGTGCATTCACATAAATTATCTGCTACTAACTGTGGACTAGCACACCTTGCATAGAAAATGTTAAATTGTAAGTAACATATATGTTATATATCATTTTTAATATAGTTGACTATGAAACATATGTAGGTGCTTGTTGAGGAAAAACTAAAGCAAATAGTAATTTCCTTTTTCTCAATTTTGACCAATTGCTTTTAGTCTTATCTCTTTTGTTTCTGAACCCAGGTGATGACTTTGGAAGGTCATGAGATAAAAGAGGTGGCAGTTAACTATTATTCAAATCTAAGCTGGGGAGTGAGGTGGAAACAGGAAACTCTCTTGAGTCTTTTTACAATATCAAGACTCAACTGCAACAAAACTCTCTTAATTTTAAATTACTTCCCACAGGCCATGCCTAGTGATAGGAAATGTCACAATGTTGCTGAAACTTAGAATCCATTTACATCAAATGTACTTTAACTTGGATTTATAATGGTACACGGGCATGTTCAAGGATATACAGTAGCAGACACATGGGATGACTAGACTATATTATTTGAGCACCCTTTTACAGATTATAGGAGTTTCTTTTAAAAGTAGCATTTATGTACCTAGTGAAAACCCTAACTGAAGCTTAATATTCTTTATATAGTTATAATTCTTACATTTTCCACAAATATATTACTTTTCTAAGTTTTGTCTCATATATTATTTCATGGTACTTAGTTCCTTTCAAATTTTCCAGGGTTTTTTTTTGTATTATGTTAGTAATTATGTCCAGACATCATAATTGCATCTAAACATTTGGAAGGCAGGAGATAGTTAAAGTGTGTTTGTCAAATTAAGATTTTTTTTCCCACGTGCTGTTAATTTATTAAATTTCCTTTGTAGTCTATTTATCTATGGTTCATTTGCCAAAACTTCTTCTTGTTTTCTGCATAGTCTACTTGCCTTCAGTGCCTCCTGGATTTGTCAAAGTTATATTTTCTGCTCATGAATATTTAGCAAATTTTCTTCTTCATGTGCTGTATGTCATCTCACCATCTGCCAAAGCCACTAGGTTTGCTTCCGGTAGTTCATCGCCATCCAGAATCAACTGAGGTTGAGCTTTACGGTCTGCAGGCAGAGCTTGACTGCTGAGAAGTACCAGCTTCTCTTACTGACAGAAATCACCAAAGGAGCTTAAAAGTTGTCACTAAGTTATAATCACTTTTCTCTTTCAGTTTTTGAAAAATTATTATCCCAATTGCCTATCTTGGTGTTTGAATGTTTATTGCTCCCATTGACAAACTAACCTATCTGTTCCAATCCAGTGTTTTACTTCATTATATAAATGTTGAAAATTGTATTCAAAATACTTAGTTATATGTGTTATATGTGTGTATATATATATATAGCTAAATGTTCAGAAGTTAGCTGAATATGACTTGTTTTGATTGTGTCTAACTAGTGTGTTCATGTAAAGACTACAGTCTTTCCTTCAACAAATGGGTTTGTGTTTTGTTCATTGCAAAAAGAACTCAGTGTTGTGGACATTTTGATTTGTTTAAGCATTTCCTGGGAATTGATATATGTGGATTTTATCATTCATTAATTTTATCAAGATTGCTTTATCTAGACATGCCACAAAGCTAATTTTCAAGCACCACATAACAAGAAAGCCATAGACTCACTCAACACTGAGATTAGTGTGTTTTCTTGATGTTTTTAGAATATCGTGGCCCTTCATGGTGTCTCACCTCAGCAGACAGTGGATTGTGTCAAGCCAGTGAGCTCAGATTCTACTACAATGCAGCCATTGGGAAATGTCGACCATTCAAGTACACAGGCTGTGGGGGAAATGAAAATAATTTTACTTCAAAAAGAGCATGTATTAAGGCATGTAAAAGAGGTATGGAAGATATTCTTCCCACTAAACCATTAGTGTTTAAAACGACAGTGCTATTGAAATTGTTAAATACTTTTAATCTATAAAATATCAAAGAATTATTTCCCTTACTTATAAGAAATAAAGTATAAAAATTTATTTAATGAATGGCCTCCCATCAACTAGACCTAGATAATACTGCTAGCTATAATTGTTCTTCATGTGTTGTTACAGAAAAATTAAAAGTTTCAAACAGCTTAAATACTTTATACATTTTTCTTTTTAAAAATTTTGTTAAATTTCTTATTCATATGTGTGTGTGACACATGTGTAGTGGCCCTTGCAGAGGCCAGAAAAGAAATTTTGATCCCCTGGAGCTGGAGTTATAGTCAGCTCTAAGCCACCCAATATGGCTTCTAGGAACTGAACTCAGGTCCTATATAAGAGCAGTATGTGATCTTAACCAGTGATCCACCTATCAAGCCCCAATAGTTCATTATAAATGATTAAAAGTACTAATAATTTATTTTTAAAAAGAATAATGAAACTCTGTCAATTTTTCTTATAACATACAAAGTTTGAATATTTTGATTATTTTCTTCTGAATATAATAATGATCTTTATCATAGGCTACAAAGAATCTGGAAATATAAATGAAAATTATCTGCCATACTACTAAATCACATATCAACCATGTATCTAACCTTTTAAAACGCACGTATGTACTTTTAATAGAATAATATATGTATCCATTTTATGACTCATATATGCAAAATGACTTCCTTAGAAATAAATTATCTTTTGAAGATACGTGGACAAATTAAGGGCCCTAATTTAATCCATTCATATGTGAGTTTAACATGAGAAGGTAATTTGAGAAAATTTTAGATTAAATGTTGCATTGTGTTCTCTTATCATTCATAAGTTTGTTGCTCTTCTTCTTGTAGGTTTCATCTACAGAAAGTCAAAAGAAGGATTAATTAAAACCAAAAGAAAAAGAAAGAAGCCATCCGTGAAAATAGTATATGAAAAAATTATCAAGAAGATATAAACTTGTTATTTTATTGCATTAATTCCACTAAATATTTTATATGCAATGTTTTCACTATAACTTCTATTTTTTCCTTCACTTCAGAACTTTTTGAACATATTAATAATTCATTTTCCAGGTTATTGGTCCTACTATTAATACATCATCCTCAGAGTTCCTGTTCTAATCTGGACACAGCACTTGTTCTTCAGCAATAATTTATTAGCAAGCCACTGTGAATTTCCTCTTTCTCTTGATTCCTTTCTATTTTCCATTGGATTACAAATTTTCATAGTACTGACTGCCATGTGAATAGGTTTTCTGCTTTCCGTTGGTGGTCTTCTTTTGGAGAGTATTATTTTCACTTGTTATGATCAGGTACATTACTACAACCTTGATAGTTCATCATCAGATAAAGAAATGCAGCTACTAAGGATCAAGTCATGTTTGTGCTTCATATCTGAAATGATAGCAAACACTTGATTCTGATAAACAATACTCAGTTGTGCCTTATGAAGAACAGATTGTAATAAAATTTTGTCACACACTTCTCTTTCTAGACGTTTTCTCTTTTTTACTAAGCAATACCTCCAACAACACTGAGCCAACCTTTTAAAACATTTAAATAAAGAATTCCCACCTCTACATAATATGCCTGTATTTTCCCTGGTTTGACTTCTGTGTCTGTGATAATTATTATCAGGTTAAATGGTTTAGATTGCTACTAAACACAGCTCTTTGTAGGAACTAACCTAATAGAAATTTTGATAATCATCATGATGAATTTTAATATGTAATACTAATTTTTTTTTGTCTTTTTGAGGCAGGTTCTCCCCGTAGGCCCAGCTGACCTGGCACTCGCTATGTAGACCAGGCCTGGTTCTCATAGAGAGCCACCTGTGTCTACCTCCCGAGTCCTGGGACTAAAGATGCGTGCCATCATGCCCAGCTTGTTTGACAAATTTTTATCTCTCCTAAAATAACAAGAATATCAAAACCTCCTTAAACTTACTTTTTTATGAGTTTTTATACACACTGAAATCAGCCATTAGTAATCAAAAAACAAAGTTACTTGGCTGGGGGGGGGTGCCTCATGCCTTAAATCCTATCATTTGGGAGGCAGATGTGGGATGTGGATGGATCTCTATGAGATTAATGATAACCTGTTCTACATAGGAAGTTCCAAGCTTGCTGAGGCTACCTGGAAAACTTGTCTCAAAATAACCCAAACAACATCTCCCCTTTAAAAAGTTACTTCTGTGAGAAACATCAACGAGGGAAATTCTAGTAGACACGTGTACAATATCTGCCAAGATTTTTCTTAATTCTCTTCATCCACTACTGAATCTGTCCTTCTCTACTGAGCATGTGCAGTCTGTCCACTCAATAGATTCACAGATATTTCAGCTTCTCTCATGCTGAAATTTCACATTAAAATCTGAGCTCATCATCTAGAAATAATGAACCACCTCAGCCATTAGGTTTAGTTTCATGTCTCCACTGTAACAACAGAATTACAATTTTACCTGCTGTTCTTGATAGTTTAAATCCAATTTGGATTTATTTTTCCTCATATCCTAGCTTTATCAAATCAGTGTCCAAATCCTTGTGCTTAGTTGCCCCTTATTTCCTTCCAACACCTAGGCTTTTTGTTCCCTGCATTCTGTCCCACGGAATTAATTACATACATATTGAGTATATGTCTTCACCACGCAAAATCTCAAAACTCACAAACTGGTTCTTAACTGTGTATTCCCAACCCCCTTAATATTCAATTTCAATGAATATTGCTGGATTTTCCCAGCAGTATATTTTTCATAGCTGCTTCTGTTCAGTTAAGACTTACCACTGTTCACTGAATTCATTTTTAATTACTCAGATTATTCACTGTTGTTTTCTGTTCAAAAATCTCATCCCTTTGGGTGCTTCTCCTGCAGAAAAATTTTAGCTGGAGTAGCTTCAGAATGGCAGTATTTCAAGATAGAATATGAAAAGTCTTAACATGAAATTACAAATTATTTCCATACTGTGCTGTAAATTTTATCATTAAAAAATGATGATGCAAATGTATGCATTTGAAGAAAGTTTGTATCTGTACAATAGTCCATGCATAAATGAGATCTTTGCTACGGAATTTATGGAAGTTTCTGAAGTTAAGAAAGGTGCTCTGGTATCATGTTTCCTGGATAGAATTATCATTAAATAAAAGCAAAAATATCCCTAGGTCATGTGCTAGATTTCCATAGAGGACACTTTGGTGAGTTAACTCATTGTTTGCTTGAACAATAATCATTCTTGGCTAAGTCAAGAAACATACATACTTCAATAGTTTTCAGTAGGCTATGAATGTGAATATCATTTCAGAGAGTTTTAAATAAACCTTCTGATTTTGTCTTCTTTATTTTGCATAATCAAATGTGTTTAACTGTGAATTTTATAGACTTAACATGATACAGCACATATGTGTATTTACCTACTTTGTTCTGTTTCCAAAATTAATGGATAATGCCAAAAACCTGGTCAAATATTTTTATTTTTTTACATTTTAAGAAGTAAAATAGCTCATCCTGAACAATAAACTCAACTCATATTAATGTTTAATAAAGAACTTTGAGAGGGCTGGAGAGATGTCTCAACTGCTAAGAACACTGGCTGTTCTTGCAGAGGACCTAGGTTTGATTTCCAGCACCCACATGACAGCTAACAACCATCCATATCTCCAGTTCCAGGGAATCTGACGCCCTCTTCTGACCTCTGAGGGTATTGCATGACATGAGTGCATTTACATAAATGCAGGTAATACTATCAAACATAAAAAATAAAATAAAAATAAATTTTTTTAAAAATAATTTGTGTTGCTTATCATAAAGATATAGAGTTCTAAAACCAAAGAATATTTTTCCGCATTCACCTCTGCTTTTACTTACATAAATTAGACCTTGTTAATGATATCCTCTAATCATAAAAGTGAAGTCATTATTATGATTTCTTATTTATCTAAAAAAGTAATGCATACTACTTGTCCAGAGGACATGAGTTTGGTTCCAGCAGCCAAGTCAGGCAGCTTACAATCTTCTATAACTCCAGTTCTGAGGATTCTATACCCTGTGCTGGCCTCCAGGATACCTGTTCATACATGCATTTGTATTCACACAAATACAGCACATACACATAAATAAAAATAAATTTTAAAAAAAGAATTCATGTAAGGTTTCTGTACGTATTTCCATTAATAAAAGTCATATAATTTTCCAGTTCAAACTGTTATAGTGCACATCAGAAAGAGGAGCAAAATGTCAGAGTTAGTGAACTATTTAAAGACTTTTTTTTCATTACCAGCTCGTGTTCTTATCCTGTTTTTATGAAGTTAGCATTTGTATTTGTTTTTACTCACTTTCAGCATCCAATCTTTCTCATGCTCTTTAAGTTGCACACAGATGGCATAACTGTATTTCTTGCAGTCAACAAAATAGCAAACAACCCCTTGCTCTTGTTAATCCCTCAGCCCAGTCCTTGGATTATTCCAACCACACAGTTACTGTGTCTTAGCTAAAATTACTCATAACATTGAAAATGGAGAATTGGGATAGTAGCTGTGTATGGTAATTCATTTACAAAAGAAATAACATGGACGAAAAAGGATGATAGGTGAGTGGGAGGTGGGAAACAGAGTAAATGTGGAGGGCAGAAAGAGATATTTTAATAAAAGAATAGCATGAAAGTCAAAGCATCTGGATAATCAGAATGCCCCACACCCATTCCCTTCTTAATTTGCTCACAATGGTAAAAACTGAAGTTACAAATTTTCAAGACCAGAGATGTGTTACTTCAGTATGGAGAAACTGGGCACCAAGATCAGTCTTCAGTCTGTGGCTCAGTAGTTTCAACTTTTTCCTAATCTCATAGAATTTCTAGGTGACCTGGAATTTAAAACCAACATCTTCTCAAGGTCATCTAGCAAAAAAGCTTGAATATTCTCATCTCAAACAGTTGAATGCTGCATTGTTTCTAAGACATAATATGTTGATGCTTAAAAAAGAGACAGCGGGACTCTTAGCAATTGTTTAAAGGCCAAGAGTGGATCCAAACACTCATTCCTTCAAATGTCTCTTGGAACCTTAATCCCTAGCAAAGACCTTGCTCATTCTTTATTGAAACAGCATCTCCAGCACAAAATGGGGAAGTAGAAAACAGGACCCACCTTCATTTTATCAGAACATCTTGCCCTTTGACCCCTAGGTCTAGAATATCATACACACTCCGTTTCCATCGTTTGCAATGAGAGAAGCATGCTTCTTTCAGTGCTTTTATATGTAAATTATTCATGTATCCATTCATATACTATCTTACATTATCTTGGGTAGAAGGTAAGGAAGGGTCTTGTGAGATTAAGGTCAGGTGTCCAGGTCACAAGAGGAGCACATGGTTCAGTGAGCTTGTTTACATTATAAACAACTTTTTAGTTTCAAGATTAGATTATTTCCATTTTATAAAAGTCATTTCTACATTTCCCCCTCCTTTGTCTTATAACTGAAGAAGTATGTCCATGTTGTAATAGAAGGCATTCCTAGAAATTCATTCTCTCAGTTCCTTCATGTTTGTTTTATAAAAGAACCATGTCCATCAGGGTGGTTACTGGCAGTGAAGAAGTGGCATGAGTCATTATGATGTAACCTTGGGTAATTCTCTGGAAAAGATGGCACATGCCTGGCAGCACTACAAGAAGACCCATGAGCTGAATGGATATTCTTGCAGCTGAAATTCATGATAGGATCTCTCTTCTGTTGCCAGGTCATTTTCCTCTGCTACAGCTTCACCACCCACACTGCAATCCAGAGAGGGCTCATAGGGGAAAGAACGGATGCAGTGACATGGTTTCTATTAAGGACAGGAATATAATCCAATCCAGCCATTAGTTTCCCCTTAAGGGGGGTTATATAAAACCATAGATTCTGGTAAAAGTTTTTACTTAAGATGCTTTTTCAGCAGATGTTGTATGTGGGGAGGAATTCGGGGGGGCAGTTGAAAGTGTAAGTTGATTTTGAAAGATTTACAGGATAATTTGCTTTAGCAATTTGCTTCTGAGCAGTTATTCTTTATTCTACCTTTTTTGTTTATATATTTCATTTTTGAATAATAAATGAGTTAGTTCAATTATGACTTACCCTTCGGTTAACATAGGAAATGTCATGATAGTCATGAACTTCCTAAAGCTGGCAAAAATAAATAAAAGTTTTAGATACATTATCAGGACATCTGTTTGTTTTTATTTGTTTTGGAACCCATATTTAGAGAAAACAGTTTATATATTCATATATAAGATTCATATGTTGGAGCAGTAGCAAAAATAAAACCTTAAAAAGTATCAACACATACATGAGCAAATTTAAAATGATGAAAACAGTTTATGTGAGTTATTTCCATTTACCAAAGTTCATTAGATGAACACCTGGGGGCTTGATTTCTTTTGAGTCATCTTGAGAATGAATGATTGGCAGACATTGAGTTTCAGTGATATCTGAAAAGAGACTAAGCAGTTATGATAGTTTCTTTCTGTGAAAAGGTCAGGTTATTCTATAGGGGGTCAAATGCTTGAAACAAAAATGGTATTTCATCTATGAAGGACTACTAACTAAAAGGAGCCTGAAGAATGAGCCAAGGTGGCTTGAAACAACAGTGAGATTGCTTAAGCCATACAGTGAGAATCACGAAACTGGAAGGTAGAAAAGGCACCTAAAAGTTCTGCCTGTTGAGTGGTAGTTGATCTGGGGCCCACAAGAGAGTGCCATATATTACTACTAAGCAAAAGTTCCTGTGCCTGCCTTGTGGTCTCCATATGAAAAGAAAATTGTTAGTGCATTGGGAATGGGATGCATACTTAAGAGAGATAATATTTAATAGGAAATAATGGAATTCCACATGGAGCAAAGTGAAAAGAAGCTTGTTCAAAAAAATAAATAAGCAAAAAACCAGCAAAAGTATTTTCATTCTTCCGAGGTCTGTAAAAGAATGTGGAACTCATTTTGAAATATGAAAGGATAGCATGAGAATCTTCCCAGTAAGTTGGATGGTTCTGGTTCAGAGTTTTTAATAAGGGTAATTAATTCTTAGTGAATTGGGGGTGAAAATGTTTTTCATTGAGATGTGTTGAGTAGAAATAACCATTCTAAAATCCAGTGGCTGCTGTAAGAGAAAGGAGATAACTAAAAGTAAGTAAAAAGCTAAATCTAAGCATCTAGGACAAAGTTGCATTGCTCTAAATTCAACTTCTAGCCACAGAGGACCCAGATTCTATACCCAGCACCCACAGGATGGTTAAGGACTATCTGTAACTCCAGTTCCAGGAGAATCCAATTTCCTCTTCTGACCTCCTTGGGCATTGCACAACACAGGTGGACTTACACACATGCAGACAATATACTCATACACATGAAACAAAATAAATATTATTTTAAAAGAATTGGGCTGGAGAGATGGCTCAGCAGTTAAGATCACTGGAAGCTCTTGCAGAGTTGTTCTTGCACAGGACCCAGGTGTGGTTCCCAAACCACACATGGTGGCTTACAGCTATCCATAACTCTGGTTCCAGGGAAATTCAATGCCTTCTTCTGGCCTTGGCCACATTGCATGCCATGGGGCACTTACATACATGCAGACAATACAATTATACACATAAAATGAAAATCAGAAATAAAATAATTTTTTTTTAAAAAAGAAAATACGTTGAGGAGAGTTTAATGTTATCTTTTTGGAAAAGACTATTGTAATTTATGAAGTTTAACAGAAAAATCAGCGACAATATATCCAAGATAGCCACATGAATAAGTTAGCTAAATGTCATCTGAGGCTAGCTGTAAATAAAAGTTTAATGACAAAGCTTATAAACATTTCAAAAAAATTAGATTTATATCTTTAGTAAAAGATGTTACTAAGATATTACTCATATAATGAAATATATAAATATCAGGTTTTTTCCAATAAGGTACCTTGCCTTATTCAAAAGTATTGATAGAAGGTAGGGTTCGTTTCTATGTCTTTAGGGAGAATTTTCCATTTAATAATAAGACACA